TAAATTGTTTAAAATCCTTAACTTACCGCCAACGTTACCAAGGGCCGCCGGGGACCGCCAACGGTAGGAAAAAAAAAAAGTGAGGGCCCCGTCCCAAACAGATTCCAACAAACCTGAATCTTAACCCTCCATCTCAAACCCAAAAAACCGAAACCCTAAACCCAATAACTCCATAACCTAAGCTAAAGGTGCAACCCCAAATGGGTAGTGGTCCCTTTTAGGGTCCTTTTTATAAGGGTGCCGTACTATATTGGGGACCTAAACATGGACCCTCATTTAGAGAACTACCCAAATCCTCAACCTGTCCCCGAGAGCATGGGCCTGGAATCGCTTCCACGACCTTCGTGAGCAGCCTTGGGCTTCGTGCGAAGGTTTAGGGTTGAGGGTGTGGGGTTTAGGGTGCGAAAAGGGGCCGTTTTGCCTTGAATCCCACGGAGTTTAGGGTGTAGGGTTGAGGGGTTGAGGGGTTAAGGGGTTAAGGGGTTTAGGGGTTTAGGGGTTAGGAGGTTTAGGGTTTAGGGTACTGACCCCCTAAAGCCCCAAACGAGAATCTTTACACAGAGTTGCTGTATGGCTTTAGCACAGATTTTATACGGTTCTATCAGGGTTTCGAGAGGGTTATAAGGGTTTCAAAAAAGGCTGGTTTGGAGTGTGTTCAAAGGGTTTGTGGTGTGAGACTCGGGGCGAGGGATCCGGTTTTTTCTTTTAGAGGGGGTCGGGCTCTAGGGTTCAGGGCTTTAGAGTAAGACTGCTGCGGGTTGGCAGGGCATCGAGCTTGGTGCTTCGTGTCTACTGCCGGTTCCTAGTCATGAAGCACTGAGTCATAGGCTATCGCAGAGTAGACAGGAACAAGAACGTAGAGGAATCACGGTATTACGCGAATGTTCAAGCCCATGCGATACCTTAAGAACCCAAAACCTAGGTTTTTGTAGGGTCCCTATAAATCCCATATTAAGGTTAATAATAAGAACCTACAAAAAAATGAGTTTTGGGTTCTTAAGGTAGGACTGCAAGGCAAGCCGCAGAAACATCTGCATCATCTCCAGCCGGTGCTCATCATCCACGAGCGTGATGTGGAAGCGGCAGGAGCACTCCTTCAGCACGGGTCTCACACCCCGAAACAGTAAACCCCCAAGGCAAAAGCGGAACGCAGACCTCTGCATCCCAAAACCGTTCTGTAGACCTGATGCCGCATCCCTAACCCCGAAACCGTAAACCCTAAATCCCAAATCTCAAACCCTAAACCCTAAATCCCAAAACCCTAAACCCTAAATCCCAAAACCCTCAACCCTAAACCCTGAATCCCAAAACCCCAAAACCCTAAACCCTAAATCCCCAAACCCCAAAACCCTAAACCCTAAATCCCAAAACCCTAAACCCCCAAACCCTACGACCTCAAACTCGAAACCTTGGGCCCCCAAATCCGGGGGGCCCTTCCCTGCCCGGGGCCTTCGGCATGCATCCAATGGCACCAATAAGGCTCCTGCGTTTAGGGTTCAGGGGTTTAGGATTTGGGGGTTTAGGGTTTTAGGGTTTAGGGTTTAGGGTTTAGGGTTTGCTGAGAAGCGATGCAGGCAGGGTTGGAGGTGGGAAGAAATGGGGTTGGGGGTTAGGGCTTAGGGGTCAAGGTTTACATAACCGAGCTCAGAGGGGGAACATGGCGAACTTTCCAGGAACTATACCACAGTCGACATCCGAATGACCATAATCCGCGGAGCCGTGAACACACCGCACGGAGCAGATGCATAAAAGAAACAAAAGAGCGGTGATCGGATGCATCAGCGACTGTGCTCGGGTGGGCAATATCTCCCGAAGGCAAACCCATAGGCCCCATAGTAGTTCCTTATAGGCCCCATAGTAGTTCCTTTTTGGGATTACCTTATAGGATTCTAAACATGAACCCCAAAAAAGGAACTACTTTGGGGCCTATGGGAAAGACAGAGGGACGGGGGCCAGGAGAGGCGGAGCGGAGCGCGGCAGAGGTGGAGAGGCGGAGCCGAAATCGACAGTTCACGGTCCAGGCCGCTGACAGCGGTGACACCAGCCCTATGTAACATGTATCATACATATATATATATATATATATATATTTATATATATATATACACACACACCTCTCTCTCTCTCTCTCTATCTATCTGTCTGCCTATCTGTCTGTCTGTCTGTCTGTCTATCTGCCTATCTGTCTATGTGTCTATCTATCTAAAGATTGAATATATACACACAATGAATGTGTGTACATAGATGTGTATATATATATATATACTATACATATATTATACATACAGTATACATATATTATAAATATATTATACATAAAGTATACATACTAATATGTTGTACATATTATATATATATATATTCTAATTGTATTATACATATACTATACATATAACATACATAAAATAAACATATACGATACATCTATTATACATATACTATATGTACATATACAACATATATATATATATACACACACATAACACAAGGTATTATGGCCGCAAGTTTCGGAAGGAGGCCTCAAGGTGACGGCTTTGTTCTCGCCCTCGCTAGGGACGCAGACGTTGATGAAACCTGGCCATGCAGTAAGACTTGTCCTTCTGCATGCAAGGACTAAGCGGGTTTAGGGTAGGGTTTTGGGGGTTTTGGGGTTTAGGGTTTACGGTTACGAGGGAGCTGAATATGGATTGCATGCACAGCAAGCATGCCTGCCTCCAGCATACTCCCTCTTCCCGTGCGACATTGGACGCCCACACGGGACCCGGGGAACACAGGAAGCAAGCCCACGCGATTCAAAGGGCCCTAAAACTGGCGGTTTGCTTCTAAAGCGGGGATGGCTAAACCTGCTGCAACATCAGTCTCCATGACTATATACTACAAGATGACTACAAGACAAAATACCGCAAAAGCCCTAGACGTGACCGGGGCTTGCTAATTGCTGACCAGGCAACGGAGATGCTCGGTCAGCTCGGGATCGTACCTGCGCAGGGTACAAGACATACTGAAAGCTCCAGCTGCCTAAACCCAAAACCCGAAACCCGAAACCCTAAACCCTAAACCCTAAACCCTAAACCCGAAACCCGAAACCCGAAACTCGAAACCTGAACCCGTAGACTTCAGCGGCTTCAGAGACAGAGGGCCAGGGTCTGAAACAGGACGGGTTTAGGGTTAAGGGTTTAGGGTTTAGGGTTTAGGGTTTAGGGTTTAGGGTTTAGGGTTTAGGGTTTAGGGTTTAGGGTTTAGGGTTTAGGGTACAGGGTCTTTCCTCTTCGATGCAAGCGCCCAATCGGAACGAAACCCCTGCAAGCTGATATAGGGGCCTTCACAATTAGAATAAGGTTTATAGTGATACTGTATATTATAGTTACATTAGGGGCCATCAAGTAATACCATTCGTAATTATTCCGACCCCTGACTTTTGTAGATCCTGGAATTTCACATTGAAGCTTCCAAGATCTGGAGCCCTTTCGGAACAGAAAACCCACAAAACAGGGGGTCGCGTTTCGCGTTTGGGGTTCCGGGTTTTCGGACCTTTTGGGAACCCGCAGACCCTGAAGTATTTAGGGTTTAGGGTTTATAGCTTAGGGTTTAGGGTTTATGGCTTAGGGTTTGGGGTTTAGGGTTTAGGGTTTAGGGTTTATGGCTTAGGGTTTACGGCTTCGGGTTTAGGGTTTATGGCTTGGGGCTTAGGGTTTAGGGTCCAGGGTTTATGGCTTACGGCCCTAAGCCCCAAACCCCAAGCCCCCGCCCGGAATTCCCACCTCCGGTAGTGCCGGTAGGGCCAAAAGATTCCCGGGCACAGCGCCAGCACCTGTAGGGCAACGGGTCGGGTTTCGGGTTTCGGGCTTGAGGCTTCGGGTTTGGGGGTTGTGGGCTTTGGGAGGCTTAGGGATTCGGCTGTAGGGCTTGGGGCTTTTGGGGTTTGGGGTGCTTTTGTTTCGGGTTTGGTGGTTTAAGGTTTTGGGGTGTTTTTGGCTTCAAGATTCGTAAGAATGGGGATAAAGCTTCAAGATTACCGGTTCTATGGTCCCTAAACCCTTAACCCCAAACCCTAAACCCCTAAACCCTAAACCCTAAACCCCTAAACCCTAAACCCTAAACCCCTAAACCCTAAACCCTCAGGTAGTGGTGTGTAGTAGACCAGCGGTCTCCCCCAAGTCTTCCGTCTTTTCTATTGTCAAAAGCAGCCCCAACTCTGAACTCATCGCATGCCAATCCTCATACCCTCGAAGAAGACTGGCAGTTGCAGTCATGTCGGGTTTGATGCTTTTGAGCCTTCAGGCTCTAAAACTGTGCAAGTTTCGGATGGTTAGTTTATGGCGATTTCCAGCGTGCTGCGCGAGGCTTCGGAAGGTCAGGCGCAAAACTAAGCCGAAAGGCAACCCTAGATCCCGCGGGCGCTAGAACCCCAAAACCCTTTTATCCCCGGAACCCTAAACCCTATGGGCTAAAACCTACCCTACAAGCCCCAAACCCTAAACCTAAACCGAAGCCCCACGCCGGTAAAGCCGCGACCAGACAAATGAAAATGTTGGCGACAGGGTTCTTGCTGAAGGGCTTCATGTAGTGGGTTTTTGTTCCAAGCTCTCAAGGCTTGAGGGGTCTAGGGTAAATGGTCCTTGACTTGGCGAACAATCGTTGGGGCCTCATGGCTTGGAGCTTTCGGGAGCCAACCCCCCGCAAGCGACAGCTCGCGAAACCTTAAATCCCAAGGCCACAGAGCCTTGATGGAGAAGCAGACCAGCAGGAGTATACCTTTCGAAAGGCCCAGGGCGCCGGGCACTTAAGGCTTGCGGGCGTCATGTGAAGTTCTTCGGATGCTGCAGAAAATCGACGGCGGTGTAACTTAATGACTTGAATAAAGTTTCTTACGAAGGTTCTTTTGCAGCATGGCTGTGATGTAAGGGCATTCATGATCCGAATAGGGCTTTGGGGTGTATCATCGCGCAACGTTAAAAGCTAAATGCGTACAACCCTACGAAACCCTAAACCCTAAACCCTAAACCCTAAACCCTAAACCCTAAACCCGACACCTTGACGTAGACCAGAAGTTCAAGGAGCCCTCACTCCGAGACCTCGAAGACCCCGGCCTGATGGTTGGCTTAGGGTTTAGGGTTTAGAGCTTTAGGGTTGAGGGTTTAGGGTTTAGGGTTTTAGTTTGGGGTTGGGTTTAGGGTTTAGGGTTTTAGTTTGGGGTTGGGTTTAGGGTTTAGTGCTTTAGGATTGAGGCTTTAGGGTTGGGTTTTAATTTGGGGTTGGGTTTAGGGTTTAGTGCTTTAGCTTTAGGATTGAGGCTTTAGGTTTGGGTTTTAATTTGGGGTTGGGATTAGGTTTTAGTGCTTTACTAGTAGGATTGAGGGTTTAGGGTTGGGTTTTGGGTTTTAATTTGGGGTTGAGTTTAGGGCTCAGTGCTTTGGTCTGGGGCCGCCACACAAGATGAAGACAGGCATGGTGTCCGCCGTTTCCCACTGGCACGGAGGAGGGCTACAGGTCGAGGGGTTGGGCTTACTGGCTTTTGGGTTCTGTATCAAGGGGGTTTAGGGTTTAGGACTTAGCGTTTATGGAGGGTTGATTTTCAGGGTGGCGTTTTTGCAAGTTTCTCGGGCTTGCTCAGAAGACGTCTTCGCGAAGATCTCTCACACCCTTCTGACAAAGGCAGACAAAGCCACACAGGAACGCGGAGTATCTTCAATCCAGTGCCGAACTGGATATTTTTGATATAAACGATCGCAGATACAGCCTGTCACCCTCCGTTAGGGTTTAGGGCTTAGGGTTTAAGTCGGTTTAAGGGCTTAGGGTTTGCAGTTTCACGAAACGGCAACCCGGTCTGCTTCCACCAAATCTCCAACAGCTTCGTTGGGCAACGTGCCGGCGCTCCGCAGAAACTGAGAGACAGCAGAGAAAGAGGGTCCAAATCCCTTTTCTTTCAACTGTGGTTTTCACGGAAACCTTGAACAGCGGAAACCCATTGTACATAAGCCACGACACATCTAAACTTTGCCCACCAAACGCACCTAAACCCTGCATCCCAACGCTACAAAAGTTCCCAAAGCATGCAACCCTGAACCAAAAACGCAGAGCTCCTGCCTTGACATGGCTTACCAGGGACGACTGGAGGATGCGTCCATCGGCACTGCAATTTGCCATGGGTTCCCTGGAGGCAGCGGCGGGCAGTAGGTGCTGGTGTGGGGTTTGGCCCTAAACCCTAAACCCCTAAACCCTAAACCCCTAAACCCTAAACCCCTGAAACCTCAACCCCAGAACCCAAACCGTAGACCCCAAACCACATACCCTTAACCCTTAAACCCTAAACCTCACACCCTAAGCCGTAAACCCCAACCCCTAAACCCCAAACCCCTAAACCCAAACCCCTAAACCCCTAAGCCCTAAATCCCTAAACCCCAAACCCTAAACCCCTAAACCCCTCAACCCTAAACCCTAAACCCCAAACCCTCAACCCTAAACTAAAAAAACAGAACTGTCCGAGCTCAGGGAAAGGCTGATGGCTCATGCACGCGTGGGCGCAGCGCCCCGAGACTTCGAGGCACCGATCCTTGGAAGTTGAGTAGAAGCTGCAGGGTTTAGGGTTTAGGGCTTTAGAGTTTTAGGGTTTAGGGCTTTCGGGATTTAGAGGCTTCGGGTTTAGGGCTTTAGGGATTTAGAGGTTTAGGGTTTAGGGCTTTAGGGCTTTAGGGTTTTAGGGTTTTAGGGTTTAAGGGTTTAGGATTTGTAGTTTAGGGTTTATGGTTTAAGGGTTTGGGGTTTAGGGTTTAGGGTTTAGGGGCTTAGGTTTTAGGGCTTTAGGGTTTTCGGGTTTAGGATTTGTAGCTTAGGGTTTAGGGTTGAAGGGTGTAGGGTTTGGGGTTTAGGGTTTACGGGTTTAGGGTTTGGAGTTTAGGGTTCAGGGTTTAGGGTTTGGAGTTTGGGGTTTCGGGCTTAGGGTTTAAGATCATCATCCTCATCACCATCATCACCATCATCATTTATTATTACTACTATTACTATTACTATGACTATTAGTAGTAGTAGTAGTAGTAGTAGTAGTAGTAGTAGTGTTATCATCCTAGGCCCTTCGAGTGAAGTTAATGGGAACCCCAGCGCTAGTCATCCGTACCTCATGCTTCAACTTTGTGGAATTCGCTCTAGGGTATGGGGATGTAGGATATTATTATTCATGTTGTAAGTTTTTGGCTTCGGGTTAAAGGAAATCCTGCGCATGTCCAAGAGGAATGCACGATTCCCAACAAGCACAGATACGCGGGATGCAGGATTTTGTCCATCAACATCATCGGAAACTGGTACGCCGTAATCCCCAAGCCTAAAGCCTAGGACCCGGAAGCCCTCGAAGATTGCGGCCCGGGAGTCATTGAAGGGAGGCGGTGCGGCTTTCTGACCGGCAGTGAAGCCCTTGAAGCCCTGGAGGAGGCATCATAGTTTAGGCTTCGGGCTTCGGGGTCTTGGCAAATCTGGGTGAGTTTCGTGGTTCTTATGCTGATTTCGATGTTGCCTTCCTCCGTGGCGTTTGGGGTATGGCCGTCACCACTACCACAAGGAATTCGCTCCTGGTGAACGTTGCTACCACTGCGCTTCGGCTTACTATACCACCAGCATCCACCAGCATTTCTACTCTACTCGTTGCAGTTTGCTTTGGTTCCACAGTAAACTTCGTGCTATGGCAGTTCGTGCTTCTTTGTACTGCGACTCGCGACGCTATGCTTACAAAGCGACCCTTCTCCTTGCTCTGTGACGTTGTGGTTGATAGCGATACGGTGAAATTTTCACTGGTCTGGTAGGGATGCTGCACTTCGGGCACCACCTGCTACGCGAGTGTTGCTGGTCCTGCTGTGAGGCTTTGCGGACTGCACGGCCAGCACCATCTTTTGTAATGAACGGCGTGAACACATTGAATGGCTGCCGCTTTGTATCAGCAATATCCTTAGCATCATCACCACCACTGCCCCCGCCGCCACAACCACCACCACCACCAGCACCAGCACCAACACCGCCACCACCACCGGACACCACCACCGGACACCATCACCACCACTGCCACCACTACCGTGATCATGTTATTCCCTGCTTGTGCAAACACCATCCCCAATACCCCTAAGCACCTAAACCCTAAGCCCTAAACCCTAAACCCTAAACCCTAAACCCTTAAACCCTGAACCGCACCTGCTCTCCATAGATGGAGCCATTCACCGCGCAGGCGACCATGTAGAGGGGGCCCTGCTTCCCGAAGCACCACTTGGGCTCCATGGTGAGCCTCCCCACAGGGCGTTCTTGGGGGCGGAACCGCGCGTTTTGGGTGGGGCTTTTCCGGCTCCAAAGAGTAGAGTAGAGTAGAGTAGAGTAGAGTAGAGTAGAGTAGAGTAGAGTAGAGTAGAGTAGAGTAGAGTAGAGTAGAGTAGAGTAGAGTAGAGTAGAGTAGAGTAGAGTATAGCATGGTATAGTATAGTATAATAGAACAAAATATACTATAATCTAATATAGAACATTAAGGCAGATGGTCATGTTCTGTGTGACAGCATCGTTGTGCATATTTGTTCAGTGTGCCTGGACACGAAAAGGGACCACAATCTAGAACGTCGAAAAGGGACCACACTCTAGACTAGAACAACCATGCAGATACTGGGTGTGTGGCTGAGCATTTCGGGCTGGAGCTCAGGCTTTAAGCCCTGAGCCCTTAACCCTAAACCCTTAACCCCCAAACGCTACGTTACACCCTAGACCCTAAACCCTAAACCGTAAGCCGTACACCCCAAATCCTAAAACCCTCATCTTAAACCGTGCCTGTTGCCCTGGCTCAAGTGCATTCGATGCCGGCTGAATGCGCCCTGCTGGGGACCCTGCTCCTGTGCTGCTACGGTGTTGGGCCTAGGGTCCAGGGTTCAGGTTTCAGGGTTTAGGG